CCCGATGAATTTTCTGGGTCAATACAGCGATCTAACATGGTACTCACTGAGGCACCGTGGGTCCCAGTAATTCTGAGATCCAGATGAATAGCCAGGAGCCGATTCTCTTGATGACCCATTATTCTATTAGTGGACACTATTTATTATTGTTCTAATTATAGATTCCTTAATACTAAACACTTACCCCTGGAATCCCAAGTTGGGTTATAATTTGTTCTGTGACGTAGTCCGCTGATTTCTCAAAAACTGCCTTAACTGAATCCTCGATGTTTTTTTTCTGTTTCTGTTTACCATACAATGCCTTATAATCAGCTAAAAATAAACCAATTAAGATAAACAAAAATCATAAACAAAATAAATGCCACTGTTTGTATAGGTTAACTAAATTAATGCATAGTTTTTCAGTTAGAAAGACAATCATAGTTTGTTATTATATCATACAGAAATATTTATGGACAATTAAATGGGAAATACTCACAGTTTGGTATCACGATTGAGCCATCGGAGTTACAAATTGGAACGGGTAAAACGGCTTCATCTAACATAGGTATAAATAATAGACAATTATCATTATCATCTGGTGAACAAAATCCAGCAGACACAGAAGCCAGCATTCCAGTTTCACTCTTCTCTACTTTACATCTACAATAAATTCATTTTGTTTAGGACGATCGAGGGAGTGTGTATGTTTATAGGGTCAATGTACATAACCTGATGGACGAGGGTATGTTCAGGGATACCATCCCATATCTTCACAGAATATGAGTAGTCTTTCGTTTGGTACGTAAAACCGAGGCTGATCTATGTATATATGGGAAACACATCTCAGAACCCTGAATGTAGTAATTACAAGTTATAAGACGCAGAGAGAGAGAGAGAGAGAGAGAGAGAGAGAGAGATTTGACCTCCACTCGACACAAACTAGGTCATTTCGGGACTAACACGCGGTTCAATTTTATTTTAATAATTCGCTTGCGCGTAGGGGTCTTTAGCAGTGGTAGGAAACCGGAGGACCGGAGAAAACCCACGAGGTTGGACAGGAGGACCCTACTCCTTGTCTCGTACAACCGGGGAATCGAAACTACGCCAGTTGACTCAATGACAGATCTTATGATATAGCGCGCACGCTGCGAAAATATATATACCTGATAATGAGTTCGAGTTCACCAACAAGATCAATTTTCACTCCAGGTTTTAGCTCAATTTCAAACCCTAAAAAAACAAAAAGAAACGTTATACTGAATATCAATTGGATTTATCTCCTTTACTGGCTTAGAAACTTTACCCGTATATACAGAGGTCACGTTATCCAATAGGTATTATCATAACCATGTTTATATGGCCTTGAATTTTAAATATAGTTTTATGTGTAAACCCTAGCTCAAAACCCACCGTAAAGTTTTTGACACGAACGGGTCGTAAGGTTTTGCCGCAAGAAACCAGGTTGAAATTTTGTATGTGCAGGACCAAAGTCACTACGATCGGTCTGCGATCTTCTACGGTGACTAACACATGCAACTGACGCGTAAAGCTGCATTTCCTTTAGTACGGATCCGGTCCGGCTCGAGTCCGGCTACGGTCCGTGAGTAGACATAGCACACGGCAGGTTGTGTATCCTTATATGTGGTTATTCAAGCGGAAATGTCCTCTTTTCAGCATGACACCGGCATTGTCAAGGTTCGTAAAAGAAGAAAAAACATTGATAATATTGGCTGCAGCATACATACCGGACACGGTTCAGCATGTGTTTCCGTACCGATGGTCCGTTTCGAAAAACCGTACCGGAAGCCGCATACAGAACCGTATCCGCACCCGCACATAAGGAAACACTCTTACTAAAATTCTATGAAAGTGTTTTTCTCCGTATCTGCAACCGGACCGGAGCCGGACAGGATCCGTACTACAGGAAATGCAGCTTAAGTCTCACGCACGGTTTTACTTCGAATTTCCCCCGTAGACTTCCTGTAGTAGCACACACGACGGATTGTGAACTGGGCTTAAACTGTCCCTAACACATCACAATATAATTCCAGCGCTATGATATGACGATTATAATAATTCACCAGTAATTAAAACACATCAATAAATTTACTTTCCGTCTCCATCCCTGGCGTTTCAATAAATCTATTATGTACTATTTTTATGCTGCATTTATAGATCAACAAATCGACCATTTACCTCCAAAAATGTCTTTCAATTCATCAAATCGTTTCTCAAAAATACCCTTCACACCAACAACAAACGTCAGGTCACAAGGGTTCAATCTGGCGTATAATTTGTAGGTCTTTAAGAACACGAAGAGTTTGAAACTAACACAACATTCTAAACCCAGACAATTATCATCAAATGTACAGTAGACATTTTTGGGTAGGTTTAGTGTCATTGTCGGACATTCTGAAATATATAGAATTTAAAACAATATATTAAAGAAAACAACTAAATGATAAAATCTTTGCAAGAAGATTTTACTTGTAGATTTCTTATAACAATGCAAGAGTAACATTTGGGGGTTCGTTTTAAAAATGTATAAACAAATTCAATGAACTAATTGCTTTATAGCCCTTTAAGGGTTATTACATTTAAGTTAGTATCTCACTGTGGTGCAACAGCTCTTAACTAGCAGGAGAGATAAAATAGCCGTATTAGCGACTATTTTCACCTGAAATATGGCCCATTGAGCAGATTCGCCTAGATATATTATGTGAAAAGACACTCGGTCATGTTATGCGTGACAATTTAGAAATCTTTTGTTGCAATTAAGTCACAAAGTGTCTCAGTTATGTCGCAGTTTTTGTTGGTTTTTGTTTTGGTTCAATTGTCGTTTATGCATTGTATATGACTATGTATACTTACTGTTATTTCTAGCTGTCAGTCTATCAATCAATATTTGTCTAGATCCAGATGCAGATTTACCTCGTTCTGTTAGTTCATTCCTCAACTCATCATCAGTCATTTGATTCGGGTTAAAACATGGTTTATTGTCAATTATCTCCTAATAATTATACCAGATTATATTTATATCAACAATCAAATGTTTAAGCTATGGTATTCTAGTGTGATTTCTTAAAATTGGGGTCATTTTTCAGTTGAGTAGAAATATAAGCTCCCTTATGGGACAGTTAACCGCAATCTGCATCCGTGTTAATAGTCGAAATATCACATTGTCCAGTATGATGGATATTGTGCTAATGCAACGATTTCCAACAATTAACAAGAATTGAACATTGCTATTTTTTATAATAAATTTCACAACAAAACAAACTGTAATTGAGGGTAATAAGAATTGAACATTGCTATTGTTTATAATAAACATACTTAACTATAAATTTCACATCAACACAGATTGTAATTCAGGGTAATAAATGTTGAATCACACGAAGAAACGATAATATCATATTTACCTTAATTCGTAGCATAACCTCTGAAAGTCTTTGTTTACTTTCATGCATTTCAAGCATATCCAATAAATTAATGATTCCACCCATTTTTAATTTACGAATAGAATATTTCTCTAAAAACTGAGCTGGTTTTTTGAAGAGTTCTTCCAGATCTACAACGACACCCCCAGAAAAGGATGGAGTATAACCTAAGAATATGAGACTGTATTTTACAAAGCTCTTTACATCAGAATAAACTGAATGAAAAGATATATTTAAGGCTGTCAGACAAATTATCCCTTGTTTTCAAGTAAAAGCTATTTACTAAAGTGAACCTACAATAATTATCACACAGTGAGAATTTATAAAGAGAGAGAAAGAAATGGGGTTTAACGTCCACTCGACACAAACTAGGTCATTTCGGGACTAACACATGGTTCAATTTTATTTCAATAATTCGCTTGCGCGTAGGTGTCTTTAGCAGTGTGAGGAAACTGGAGGGCCCGGAGAAAACCCACGAGGTTGGACAGACGAGAGAATGACTAAGCTTACTCTGCATTGTACACGACACCTCCGTATAACTCGTGTTGACATGTAACTATTTCATTGTAAACAGTCACTGAAGATATATGTTTCCTTCTTGATCAAAAAAATAAATAAAATCTATCCAATAAACGTAAATACCAACCGCCTTTCAATTTGTTCTTCACATCCGGGGTACCCTTTTCTTGTGTCTTTGAATACATTGAATAACCGTCAACTATAATTGAGCAAATTATGTAAGTAGGTCATATGAATATGCAAATGAAAAAAATACTATATTTCTCCCGACATCCTGTGTATCCAGTAGTTATGTACAGTATTTGTTTATGTTATTGTACACAGTCTTAATGACCGGGGTACTAACACAGTGATTGTTTAAATTACCATTAATAATACATTTAACCCAGCAAGACTTTAAAAAAAGTTTCCGTGACTATGTCAAAAACCTTAGAAAATTTATAACGCATAAACTTGTCCGGGGTTCAAAATGTTGGATGGACGGACAATATTAACATGTGAGCATACATTTTAAAATTCCGGCGAGTGATTGATGAGAATATGTATTTGGTACACTTACAGGCATGATCACCAAGTCCTTCAGATGGATTCTGTGCAGCGAGTACAGATGGTATATCTATGTTCAAATCTGTTCTTTTTGGTTCCTCTTCTAATTCCTCTTCACCATCCGTACCTAAGATTGACCCTTCAGCTACCACATCAAACTATAACATTATTGTACACAAATACAGTCATTGTTATCTAATAGTCTATATAAAAATAATCACTGGTATCTAATAGGCTATATAACAAACATCATTGGAATCTAAAAGTCTATATAACAATCATCTAATAGTCTATATTTAACGTCATTGACTTATCATATTATTTTAGTATTACAATAAAATGTTTGTCTTTGAGACAGGTGAGTGATTTATATGACGATATGTAGTGCTAACGTTCTTTACCTTCCACACGAGTTTATAATCATCGCATTCTTGAACCCAGGCAGGCATCCCTGGCATACGTGGTGGAAGATATTTGGCTGGACTGATGATTCCACCTGATGTACGTCGCATAGCAAAATGGATGTGGTCGTTGTTTTTCTCGCAAACTGCACCACTCGCCTTACCTATTTCAGAACCTGCTTGAATCTTGAAATTAAAACATAAAATGATTACACTACACTTTAAACTTTAAAGGCTGTTCTAATTATTGCAAATCCATACGCTGACTATCGCCTTGAGCGTTCACTTAATTTTGTGACATCCACTACGACACGGTGAGCATAGTGTTGTAAGTCCCGATGTAGTATATGTATATATCGAATTCATTAAGCGGCACGTGCCTAAAATTGGCACTATTGTCCCCTACACCATCCAAAACTTAACCTAAAAAGGGCAATTGGCTCTCCTCATTGACACCGATGGTATCAAATAGGTGCATTTAATTTAGTTGTTTCTGGATCATAATTGGCTGTTGTTCCGAGGAGATTTTGTCTGTATTATTAACTCATCTTCTTCTTAGCAAAAATAAAACATAATTACCAGTGTTTCCTCTGCCTCGATTTCTGCAAGTGGATTTACGTTGGTTATAATAATTTCAATGTCTTTCAAAGACCCTCCTGTAGGCTTGAGTATAACTTCATTGCTATTATTGGGTGACAATCGAATATGTCCTGGAAAAGGTGCCACAACCTACAATAAACACTAAAGTTTACTGAATCCACAGCTTTGATTACATATCAAAAGCAATAAAATGGCACCAATTTTAAGAAAGTTGACTTACTGATTGTCCTCGTTGTATGAGAACGTCCACGCCATCTATACTATATTCTCGGCCTTTCCCTAAACTAGATGGGTAAGTACCAGAACCACTGCACATATTGTCTGGTGTGCGATATGTCTTTGGAAATTGTTTGTGACATTTCGGTCCAAATAAACGATCGATTAAATCTCTTGCCTTTCCATATCTGAAATCGAATTGGCAAACAAAGCATAAAACCAATGTCATTTAGCAGTATTTCTGTTTATGAATTTTAAACATTAAACCGTGTATACACTGTCATACTAATACAAATGGAAAAGCTGTTAATCTAAAAAATCCTTATTATATGTTCAAAATATATTTCTATAATCCATAATACAGTTTTCTTTTGAAAATAGATTTGGAAACAAGCTTAGCCTATGTTGACTCCTCTTCATAACACACTCGGGCATTTTACCGCCAACTACTCATAATCAGGAACTACATTTTCCAATGTACTCTATTTACGATTCTAGTCAACAGACTTGATTATTTATATTACATAATTATGTTTTAGAATATTATCTTAGAGTAATACTCTTACCCCTCCTTTAACTTGTTAAATGCGTCTTTAACTGTGTTTACTAAATCAGATACACTCGTAAATGTGTTAAATACTTTGCCTCCCAATGATTTAACAAGATTAAGTGGATTAAGTATTTCATCAAGAACTGCTTTTAATTTGTTTATTACTTCCTGTTTTAAATCCATCTAAAATCAATTCAAACAGAACGATTTATTAACAAGATATTGTGACATTACTTCCACGTTTTACTATAATGGAATATTATGTACAAGTATTTAACAATCGTGTTTAAAACACCCTTTGATAAAAACGGCTAGCACCAGCAGCAAGGTCGTCGGTTGACCTTTAATGACACAGTTCTACAAATTTCAAAGATGACACTGTGTTGTAATGCATGAGACTGGATGCGAATATAATTCTGTGATTTGCCTCGATTATTAATCATATTAAGCAGCGTTTGTAAGCTTGAAATATCAAAATGTGACGTAAAAGTCAAAACAAGTTCCACAATTACAACTGCAATCGTTCGATAGAATTCTTCTATAGAGATGCCCCTCAATGACGTTTTATGTAAAGCTATTCATCAGGATATCTGTCCTGTATTTCATTCTCAAGCCTTCTTAAGTTTCATTTCAATTGAGGAGATAACTCCAGACTTTGCAACCAAATTATTCAAACAAGAGCATCGTACTTTGTTGCGTTAATGCCACAAACCCTTCTAAAGTTCGCTAGGATTCCGAAGCATTCAGCAAACCCAAGAATCTTTATCGATTTCACAAGCTTTCAAAATGTTAAACATACACGCGGAGTTAACAATTTTGAATTTCGAAGGAGTCGTCCTTTAGACAAACAAACATCACCTACTATTTTGGGAAATCCGTCACGAACTCCTCTCCGTAAAGCCTATACAATAAATTGTGGGTGAACATAATAAAAACGGACGTGAGAGTCTTTGAGGAAAAAACAGTTTTCAAACCATTGACACTCTTCCTTTGGTAAATTCTGCTACAGGATCTTTGCCACGGTAGGTTCTCTGTTGCAGCCATTTCTGTCCTCCAGATTTCATAGTTTCTTCAACCTGTTTTCTCATGTCATTCAATTGTTCAAACTCTCCTTTCAGATCAAACCAATATGGTTTCTCGTCTTTAAATAGAATGACAATAGTTTATCAAGATAGTCTATCTATAAAACGCACATTAAAAAAAATGACAATAGTTTATCAAGATATAGTCTGTCCATAAAACATACTTTAAATAATAGTGTATCTAGATAGTCTATACATAAAACTCACTTAAAATAAAATGACAATAGTTTGTCTAGATAGTCTATCCATAAAACTCACTTAAAATAAAATGACAATAGTTTATCAAGATAGTCTATCCATAAAACATACTTTAAATAAAATGACAATAGTTTATCTAGATAGTCTATCCATAAAACATACTTTAAATAATAGTTTATCTAGATAGTCTATCCATAAAACGCATTTAAAATAAAATGACAATAGTTTGTCTAGATAGTCTATCCATAAAACTCACTATAAATAATAGTTTATCTAGATAGTCTATCCATAAAACGCATTTAAATTATCGTCCATTAACAATTTACCAACAATAAACATAAAAGCAACTACCTGAGTATTAGTGCTAGACAATGTTCCGTCCTGCATCACTAACAAGGGAAAGACACACAGGGAATGTCCGAAGAACTTTCTCGGCCAACACCGGGATCGAATCGTTGATCTCAAGGTTAACGAGCCAGCACCCTATCCACTGGGACACCGCGGCTTTCACAATGACATAGATAAGTTTAAAACGTGAGCAATAGACGAATCTAAGTCTTTCAGTTACAGGCCTGTATGGAGCCTCTCAATAATCATGTCCATAATTCAGTTAATGGGTTTTACCTTTCAAAAAGAAACACGAATCCTTTATTTTTTTAACACCTTCAATAAGCATCTTGACTTCTAAACCAATACTGAAAATCATTCATCATGAAAAATTTAAAAAAATGAGATAAAACATGTTGGTTTCATAATAACTACTGGCTATGTTCATCATTCAAGTAACAAAACATTCCTCCACTGTCCCGATAAATAGAGCCAAATAAATACATAGTACACTTATTATATTTATACTGGTGTAGAATTAAATGTTATAACTTACTTTATAACACTTCTTCCAATATTTTGTACGGCAGTTTGAGGATCGTCTTGAAGATCTTTGAATGCGTTTATAACATCATTTATAGCTGTATATATCTGTTTACCAGCACGGGGTATTATTACTGTTACCGTCTCAAATAATTGCTGAAATATTACGATTACGGTTGTTTTAACGTTTATCAACGACTAGACACGATTTCTTACTTGTATCGCCGGTAGATCTGACAGGGAAGGTGTTACCCGCTTGTTGGGATAGGACAGTCACTATCAAGGCAATTCTCTACTTTCAGATATTACATCCATGGAAAACTAAGACAGTTATAAGTGGCAACAGGCATTGGTCCATTATACACAGGTACGACGTTTCGATAAATATTCCCTGATCTTTATTGTATTGTGATTCACGTTACTTGACGTTATGTTGTTCCTTTAATTTATATTTGCGGTGTTTGGGTGGTGATGACTATGTTGGTTATCTCATATTGTATGAATTGTAAGGGGGGGGGTGGATGGCCGAATGGTTAGCACGTGCGCGCTGTATCATGAGGCCTGTCATTGAGTCAACTGGCGTGGTTTCGAATCCCCGGTTGTACGTGACAAGGAGTAGGGTTGCCTGTCCAACCTCGTGGGTTTTCTCCTGGTCCTCCGGTTTCCTCCCACTGCTAAATACCCTACGCGAATAATTGAAATAAAATTAAACCATATGTTAGTCCCGAAATGACCTAGTCTGTGTCGAGTGGACGTTAAATCCCATTTCTCTCTGTATGAATTACCATGCCCTATACACGACAGCGTGTCATAGTGCATGTTAGTAAAGGAATTAATGATATTCATTCAATTTTATAATCTTAAATATACTTACGTTGTAGAACGCCATTACATCTTTTTTGATATCATTATACAAAGAAACAATTTTATTTAGAAACTTTTTAACTGGAGTTACAAATGGAGGTAGATCTATTGTATCGATTTCGTCAAGTTTACTCATGCTTTCTAGTGCTCGTTTTCCAAGGTTTAATACCTACAATATAGGCATCATTATAATTAACATATTTACAATTGTTAAACCTTTTATATTTAATTATGCACAAACGTTTGCTAAATATAAAATAATGTTTATTAAAATACAAATTTAATGACCAACTTAATCGTAATGGAGTCATTCGTTAAGTCCTCTTTCAAATACATTTTTACTAGAACAAATATACATTTACATGTTTGTCACTGATAAGACGTTCAGGTTTAAGACTGTCGTTTGTAGACAATTAGTTATATATACTATATCACATTAAGAACAATATTTATAATGTTTAAAATTATAGCTTTATGATTCAACTTTATAAAATGATGTTGTCAGATATCTGCACTCATAAAAGTGATGCTAAATGTCTGGGTTAAATGGATTTATATTTTACCTTATGAGGAAGATCTTCGAGGGCTTTCTTGAAATCATTAAACATGCTTTCCATTGTGATTTTCCCCGTTATTATGCCTTTAAAGAATTCCACGACCTCTTTTATATTCCGAACAATGTCATTTTTTAAACTGTCATAGACTTTGACGATATCTTTGACACTGTCAATTCCAAATTCCTAAAAAAACAAATTATCAGTCATATCCAGTGTAATAGTAACGAACATGAAAGGTAAAAGAGATTTTGACAATGAATCATATAATACATACAACTTAAGCTTCAGCTATTTCCGTTCTTCATCGTCGGTTCTGTCACAGTGGTATAATAAAGTAACTTAATAATCAATTGAAATATTAAATTGTATAATCGGAAATTACGTTAAAACACTGCGGAAATAATGTTCAATTGAGCACGTTGTCATGTGCAGACTTGGCGTAGGATCGATCAAATAAGGGGGCGATTAACAAAAATATCGGAAAAAACCCTCTAATCATCTGTAAAACTGTATACTAACTTGTAATATGTTGATTTCATATTTTATTGATCCTTTAAAACAGACCCTGGCTAGGAAGAAATCTAAAGTTTGACCAATAAAGCCAAGATGTACTCTAGCAAAGGCTTCATCGTGAATGTCTACAATGGCATGACCACTTAGCAGAGCTGCACAAAATAAAGGACATATTTTTTATGAAGTCGAGATTGTAGACTACTTTTATTTATATTCGTGATTCCATATTACTGTCTGTCGATGTTACAACTTCAAGTGATGAAAACATCATAATTACCTATTAGTGTCATTAGCACATGTACTATGGTAAACATGACCAAACATAGACATTACGCAATGTCAGCACCTAATTTACATTTTTAGCATGTATGTCTCACATGATTGCATCGGTAATGAGTTTATTGTGTTCGCAGATTATGGAAGCATACCCTTTAGTGAACATATAAATTATGTTATGCTATCATGAATATCACTGAGCTAACTTAGTCAATAAAATAATTTAGGCTAAAAAAAGAAAAACATTGTAGGTCCACAACTGAAGGTTCACCC